ATCAATTTCTAGTATGGCCAGCCAGGTTTACTCTCTGAAGAGCTCTTTGCTAGATACTCTCCCATATAATTGTTGTGGCAGCCCTATGATGGATATCATATTGACCTCCACATTGAAGAGACAGATCAAGGGGCTGGGGTTGTGGCTCAGCGTCAGTGCGCTCATCTAGCATGTGTGAGGCCCACATAAAAATAAAGGTATTGTGTCCAAGTACACCTAAATATATATATATATATATTTTTTTTTTTAAAAGAGGTTAAGAAATTTGAGCAGGGCACAAGTGGGGCACACCTATAATCCTATCGAATTGGGAGGCTGAGGCAGGAGGACAGCCTTAGTAATTAAGAGAGATCCTGACTCAAAATAGAGAATAAAAAAGGCTGAGAATGAGTTAATGGAGTAGAGATTTTATATCAACCCTGTCCTTTTCACAAATTCCTGGCTTTTTTTCCCTGCCATCTTAGGAAAAAGGTGTAAGAAAAGTAGGGAATCAGGGATCCCCTGTCTCTCTCTCATCATCCCAATTCTAATTGAACTCTTAATATTAACACTAAATAGCAGAGTAGAATTTACACGTGGAAATGGACCAAAATGGCAACTCAAAAGCTAAGACAGGAGTCTGGGCAAATGCAAAGAGGTAGAAAGATCTGGTAGAAAGATTTTATCAACATCTGTCCTYGGATTATTAATGTAGGGCACTGGGGCGACTTCCCTAGGAAAGACGGGGAGTACACACAGGGCGGTGATCAGTCATCTACGTCTGGGGGTGGCATCTCTGAATCTTGGGGAGTGGAATGTGTAGTTTGGAAAAACATCAGTGTAAGGTAATTTTATATTCTAAAACTTGTCAAATCCCGTTTTCTGCTCACATCACCAAAACCTTATGTTGTGCCAAGTGCTGCAAACCGCAGAGTACAGAGTTCAAAAGTGCCCGGATCTTGGGAGGGGAAAAATGACCCAGACCTGGTACTAAGATGAATAATCCTCCCACCCCCACCAAAAAAGAAATCCCATTCCAGTGCTGGTCACCCTTAAGGGCCTTCTACAAGATGATCTGCTACCTGCAAGTGGAACGGCTGAGGCTGAGGAGGGAATCTGATCCTAAGGCAAGTTAAAAAGGCCAGGGACTGTTAACTCCTGATAAAGCAGCCCAAAGCAGCCCAGGAGAAGCAGGTGACTCCCACTGAGTTTTTTACTACAGCTTACGTTGGGACCCAACAAGAGCATGGTCCTAAAGATGGGGAAACCGAGACAAGGGCCCTTGGATAAGTCAGGCCTTAATTCAGGGTAGCTGGACAGGGCTCTAGCAGGCCCAGGAGGCCAGGTGGTCAAGGGTGTGAAGGCAAAAGTCCGGGGCAGGGGACTTGGGCGAAGGGGCGGATTCAAGAAAAGGTTAGTTCTGGGGCGGGAGGGGGGAAGGAGGGCGCGCCGCATCCACGCAGACGGACTTGGAAGAGCTGTTCCAAGAGGCACACCACCGAAGATGCTGAGTCACAGTGTGCCGTGAGGGCCGGGTGCGGGCTCCCAAGGACTGGCACACTCTCCACAGGGGCAGCGAGCGCCAACCGACGCGCAGGAAGATGCGCTCACGCACAGGGACTGCTGGAGGAGGGGCGCGCTCGCGTCTCCGTGTGGGATGGCACGTCCGGGATGGGCGGGGCGAGCTCGTGTGCGCATGTGTCCGCACAGGGTAGGGAGCCTAGAAAGGCAAGTGAACTGACGAACGTTTCTCTCCGCACGTCTGGGATGGATGTAGTACGCGCGTGTGCGCATGCTCCGGTTATGGGCGGRTGTGCGTTTGCGCACGGGAGTGGGATAACGCCCCCTCTGTAACGCTGGCCACGGGGTTTTCTCTTTCCGCAGCGTTGTCCTCAGGTTTTCTCTAGGAACCCGGTGCAAAGGCTTTCAAAAACATTTCCCCACCGTATATAGGTGTGATGTCCATGAGAATAGAAAAATAGAAAATACTAAACTTATTAGATCGGCCTTCATAATCCGATTATCAGCTCCCAGCGTTAGTCCCTCCTCGCAGTTCTGATGACCACGCAGTGTACTTCACACCCCTTTTGTATTAGAATTAGGTAATTCTGGGTTTGGTGGTGGTCCCAGGCACTATCCCGTACCCTGGTGATGTGGACGTGTACCAGACTTTCTAGTGGAAGGAACAAATGCAAACACACTAATGCCAGGACAGCGCTAAGTGCTATGAGGAGGGGGAAAAAGCCTCGATGGAAGATTGGCAGTGGTCTGAGAAAACTGATGGAGCCTTACCCTGTTCAGAACAACAGGCAGTCCTGGGGAGGAAGGAGGGATGTGTGCACAGGAAAGCGTGGAGGCTGTAGAGGAAGAGGCAGGGGACGGGTGGACCTGGTTGGTAAGTGTGCTTTAAGATACATGTATAGGACTTGCTGAGAGTAAGGGAAGGAGGAATCAAGAATGTTTTTCTTTTTGGCCTGAGCACCTGAGTGCACGGGTGGTAGTTCTCTTTTTTAACAAGAATGGGAAAGATGGGGTTGTCTCCCCTAAAAAGATTTTTGAGTTTCAAGTGCAGGAGCTACATTTTCTTTGCAGTCCTGGCTTCTACCAAGGACCAGTCCCTAGGAATTGAGCAGACACTCTTGAAAAAACAGTCTTAACCCATCACTTAGGCCCACATCTCTTAACACATCATATTAAAAAAAAAATATATATATATATATATATATAAGCAGGAAATATATATTAGCTCTTCAGAGAGTAAACCTGGCTGGCCATACTAGAAATTGATAAAGGAATATTAATATTGATATCCCTTTGTTCTACTTTGTGTGTTTTCTCTCCTTTGCTACCATAACCTCTTACTTGCAGATAAGGATCTAGTTTCCTGCTAATGTAGATGGACACAATATCTTCATTTTATTTATTTTTATGTGGTGCTGAGGATGGATCCCAGTGCCTCACACGTGCTAGGCAAGCACTCTACCACTGAACTACAACCGCAGCTCACAAGTCATATTCAGTCCCCTCTTCTGACACATAGCCAGCCTATCTTTGTGAAACTCTTAAGGCCAGCTGCATGTGACCTCCAGGTGCCTGTCCCCGGAGATTCCTTGGACTCCTGGGTAGATATAGTTGAGAGGCAGCTAGTCATGTTGTCCACCTACAGTCGAGGAGCTGACCATTGGCATCAGGAGGCTGCTCACAACAGTGGCTTAGCAGGACAGAGAGCAAATCTTCTCACAGCCTATGGTTGGCATGTGGCAGGAGCTTCCCAGGTGGCCAATTTGTTTTATGGGGGGATACTGAGGATTGAACTCAGGGGTGCTTTACCACTGGGCTATATCCCCAGTTCATATATATATATATATATATATATATATATATATATATATATWTATTTATTTTTTTTTTAAGTTGCTGAGGCTGGCCTTGAACATGTTATCCTCCTGCCTCTGCCTCATTGGATCTCCCCAGGCAGAAAAGGATCGTCATAAGCCTCATTAGTACCTCAACTACCTGTATGTTTGCCTTCATTTCTCAGATGGGCCAAGGCCTCCAAGAACCCTCTAAGAGCTCAGATATAACTTTTCTTCTACTTTCATCCCTACCTGTCTGGCACATAGGTAATAGGACTCCTCTTATATTCCCATCACTTTTGTGAACAGCACTAGATGCTTATGTACAATAGGAAAACATTTGAATAAAATATTTTTWAAAATTTCCTTGTTAGCTTTTTATTACTTATTTTCTGACATGGGGATTGAACTCAGGGCCTTGACTATGCTAAGCATGCATTCTACCACTGAGCCCTCAAGACCATGCTAGCATTTTCTTTTTTTTTTTTTTTCCTTTTGGTACTGGGGATTGAACTCAGGGATGCTTTGCCACTGAGCTATACCCAGCTGTAACCACTGCACGCACCCCCCCCCCGGGACTTTTTTAACTTTTTTTGAGATAGTCTCACCAAGTTGCCAAGGTTGGCCTCCAACTTAACAATCCTTCTGCCCCAGCCTTCTGAGTCACTGGGATTATAGGCATGCACTATTGTGCCTGGCCCTGCTAGAGTGTGTGTGTGTGTGTGTGTATATTTATATTTTGTTGTAGTGGGACACAATACCATTATCTATTTTTATGTGGTGCTGAGGATCAAACCCAGGGCCCTGCACATGGTAGACAAGCGCTCCACCGCTGAGCCACAACCTCAGCCCCCTGCTAGCATTTTAGTAAGAATTCAGTGTATTCTTCATTACATTCATGAAACATGGATGTAGCTAAGCAACCTTGTCTTGAAGTAAATTTGGAAGGCTCTGGTACTTGGTCTCTATGTTCAATTTCAGGGCATCTCACAGTGGTACTTACCCTTGGTGGTTATATATTAATACAACATTACTCAATTTTCCTAAATGCATGAAAATAATTCAATGAAGTGCTGCTTTCTCCAAGTAAAACTGAATTGAAATTCCCCTATAACCCTCCATCCATTCATGGTTCTCATCATTATACAGTCTTCCTTCTGCTTGGCAGGACAGCATCATCCAATGAAACAGGTCCTTTTTTAACCCTGTGAGGCAAGGTCTCTTGGAACAGATGGGGTTCCTGGAGTGGGGCGGAGGGGTGGAATAAGTCTTCATCCTTGGAAAGACTAGCTGAGAAAGTACTATCACCCACACTTGGTGGGATGTGGGTGTTAACAGACCCCAACCCTGAGAGCACCTGCATCCTTCCAAAAGACAGTCTCCTTTACCCCTATATTGGATGCACCTGAGAGGCCTAAACCATCTATGGCCTTAGGGAAGCCAACAAGAGGTTGGTTGTTTTTCCTGCTCATCCATGCCAATTCATCCTGATTCTCTAAGTGGTCTTCCCCCTTGAAAATGTCTCAGAATCTGAGAAGAGGCTGACCTAAAAACCAACTGTGGGCAGCGTGAGTCAAGCAATGCATCTAACATGATGTCTGTTGCAGTTCATTTTTAAATAAAGATTCAGAATACTATTAAATGTATATTTTTAATAAAGCCAATAGTTACTTTACTTATAGGAGCTTTTAAAAGTAAGATACAAAATGTAGAGTTCCAGTTTGGAAGCATTGTAACTATTCACACAATGTCCTGCTGATGCCGGAGCAAGGCAGCCACGCCCGGCCATGCAAAGGACACATGCACGCACATGCGCACACACACACTTTCTCTCTCTCTCTCTCTCTCTCTCTCTCTCTCACACACACACACACACACACACACACGCACACACACACGCACGCGCGCGCGCTTTGGCAAGACCCCTCTGCCGAGCGCAGCACCTGGAATTACCAGTGTTCAGAGCAAGGTGGTGCTGGGCACACAGCACCTACATGGAAACTACACAAACAGCTTCACACAGTCACAGCCCATGGAGATGCAATTACAAAATATCTTTCATAATAGGAAAGAAGAAAAAAATTGGAAAGTGACAGTTTAACAATGTCACCTGCGCTGGGGCATTGAGAATTGACCTCTGTCCAGGGTGAGGTCTTTGGGGAGGCACTATTAAAATAAGAGTACTTTAGTATAATAGAACTCGGAATACAGGGCACTGTGGACACATTACTGAAGGAAATAGAAAACTATCTTACAAGTAAAACAGTCACAAAGAACTTCCAACAGATTAGTGTGCACACTGTGACAGTTAACACAGACGAGAGCCACGCAGGATTGATGCAAAGCATGTGCCTGAAAAACTCTATGTACAAAATAGTTATCTGTAAACATGGTGAGGTGAATATTCAGAACCCATGGTGAAAGGATCATTAAGTACAGGCAGCAATGGCATCCCCACACAGCACAAAAGACAACACCCAAGGCCTGGAAACAGCCTGACAACACAGTACTAAAAATTCAGGTGACTGGGCTCAGACACCCTAAGGGTCCTCTAAAATGTGTATGTGTATGTGTGTAAGTGGGTGTGGGTGTGTGGTGTGTGTGTACACAGATATTTATCCTTTTTGGTATTTTTAAATAGAAATTTACTTATATCTGTAGAAAAATGAGAACATAAATGTGTTATTACAATCTTTGCTGGAAAAGCTTATATGGAGTTAGAAAGAATAAACCATTTATTAGTAGTTAACATATATTAAAATGGTTTAATGACTTAAGAAAATATAAAAAAAATATTAATACTGTCAAACTTTCATACCAGAAAATATCATGGATTTTTCTCAATTAGACTTTTTCAAAGATGAAATATGAAAAATTTAAATAAGTTTTATATAAAGAACTTTCTGCAACCTCAATTAATTTACAGTGGGATATGTCTATTCTATATAGATATATTTATTATTATTTCTCAATTTAAGCACCATTCAATTCTTCTGGATCCATTCTGGCTGGAAAATATCCTAATTCCACAGGATGTTATCTTTTTAATGGCACATGTTAACCGAAAATGAGGTGGATTTTCTTTTTTAAAAGACTTTAATTCTTATCTACATCTTAACTGGTTTGTCTTTTGAACCAGCTCACAAATGTTACTGCAGTTTCTAGTGCAGGTGTCTCTGTGCAGCCCTTTGACCACACTTCCCCACTTTGAGGACCCTTCATGCCTCCAGCCATGTGTGGAAGGATCTGAGGACAGCAGGTGAAGCCTTACTTTGCACACACCAGCAGCCTGCTGGCTCATCCTCATGCACTGTCAGGAATATACTTCTGACATCAGCTATATAATCCTGCTTTTGTAAATCTGGCAAAGGCTGTATTCCTGGATGTTTCTGGGTAAAAGGGGCAGCTCACCCACAGAAAACCCAGGTGATTGCTTCTGATCATAAATATTCTGTTTTCCTGTTTTTGTGCTTAAATAAAGATTAGTGTTGAGCAAACCTCCAGCCGGTATATCTGTATCTTAATATGTTCAATGCACTTTAGACACGAGATGTTTTAGCTAAAAATCTACATGAAAATAGCTATGAAATCAGTGATGGGTGTGGTCACCACTCAATGTGTTAAGGAGGAATAAGAGGGTTTCATAAGAATGGTCAGTTTTGCTCTTGGCCTTCAGACCCGATGTCTTCCTAACATATAGCAGGATTAATAACCTCAGAACTATGTTTCTCAAAGTGTGGCCTCTGGCCACCTGCATCATAATCACTCCAGGTGCTTATTAAGCATGCGGATTATCCAGCAACCCCCTGAGTGTGATCTATCACCAGCTGGCTCTCCAGGGGTCTGCTGCCTTCAGAAACCAGGCTTTAAAGGCTTGGAGCTGCCAATCACCCCTGTTCCCAAGGAAACYTCCTGGGATGGGGTGCACTGGTCCTCTGAGGGGCTGGTATGAGCTAGTCAGCCCTGGGGTGGGAATACTGACCCCAACAGCTCTGGGTGGGCAGGAAGAATGGCCCTGGGTCAGTACTGAGGCAAGTAGGCTGGCCTGCGTTCAGCCTTCCCAGGGAAGGCCTTAAAGCCCTTGGGTGCTGCCTTGTGTGCTGGTGGGGGTGGGGGTTGGGGTGGGGTCTGCACATAAGAGAAGGAGGCAGCACTGCAGTCGCTGGTTGCAGCCCACACAGGAGATTGCAGCATCTGCATGGTGTCGTTCCACTGGTTGCCGGGACTGGCGACTGCATAGAGTGGTGCACTTGGGCTGGGCAGTGTGCTGGGCAGTGGGGAAGGGTGTTGCCAGGGTGCTTTGGGAGGCCACGTTTTGGTTTTGTTATCCTGAGGGACAGAAGAGGGTTCTTAGTGGCACTTTTGGTGGTTTACCACCTTTTCCCACCTTCCCAGATCTCTGGTTCTTCTTTCTACCTAGGAGCAGGGTGAAAGCCCTAGCCCACCCCACAGCCTTGTCAAATGGAACTTCTTACAATGATAGCAATGTTCTATGCCTGCACCATCCAATAATAGTAGCCACTTGCCATCATATATGGCTAGTACATCTGTGGAACYGAATTATTTATTTATTTATTTATTTTTGCAGTGCTGGGGTTTAAACTCAGGGGTCTCATGCATGCTAGGTTATCTAGCACTCTACCATTGAGCTACACCCCCAGATCTTAATTTATAATTAATTTAAATATAAACGGCCACATGTGGCAAGTAATGGATATCACATCCCTAGAGCTTCTTCTATATGTGGCTCTGAGTCAGCTGAGATGGCTAACTACTTAGATAAACTCATGAGAAAAAGAGATTCACCACAAAGAAGACTGTGACTTTGAGGCCTTAAAACAGAAGCTGTGGAATCTTGCCCATGGCCTTAATCATAAGCCAGCCCATAATACCTGGTTCATGTCCTCCACTGTAGTTAAGAGAGGCGGTGAGGGTAGCATGCTGGTCTCCTGCTCTCCACTGCTGTGTTTCCTGAAAGAACCAAGAGCCTAGAGCAGTGATTGCCTGGCTTTCTATCCAGCTTAATTCTAGGGGTCATCCCAGCTGCACAGCTCTGGTCTCCAGGCCCTGGTTCYAGGTGAGAAGGGCTTGGGTCCATTGAGTTCAGGGGCAGAAAGAGCTCAGCACTAAATTGTGTATGCCTACAAAGCCAGCACAGGGTAGGGAAGGCATAAAGATGGGCACTGGCTTTCTTCAGCTGCTCTGAGTCCACCAGCTCTGACTTTTTGTTAATTTTTTCAATAAATTACCATGCACTGGGGGGTGTATGGAACTTAAAAACAAAATTCATTAGTTTTAACAACACTGAATGAAAAAGACAGGATGTATCAGGATCAGAGCTGGTGCTCCTGCAGGCAAACAGAGTCTCTGCAGAGCTGGTGACAGAGGTAACTTTTTAGATGTCTGATCAGCCACAGGTCTAGAACAGAATCTTAAACTCCAGCCTGGGCTCAAACCCACTCTTACAGCATTTCTCCCAYCCCAGTTCACAGTACTCCCTCTACATAGCAGCTCAGGCCCGGAACTTTCTATCATCCTGATTCTGCTTTCACATACACCTCACTGCCGATGCCCCACCAGTTGCTCCCTCACTTTGGTAAGCCCTCTGCTCTCTGCTCATCCGACGTCTCCCTAGTTGCCCTTCTGAAAACAGAAAATTCACCTGTTCCCTATGTTCTATCCTCATCACTTGCTTTATTTTTTCTTCATAATACCTAAACTAACCTGACATTTTTGAGAATCTGCCTTTCCTAATGAGAATATAATTATTTCCATGAGGAAGAGGGCTTTTTTTTTTTTTTTTTTTTTTTTTTTTGCTATCATATCACCTAATATGCTACAGCTGCTACCGAAAGAAACTAAGAATGAAAAGCCAAGCGCAGTGGCTCAATTCTGTAATCCCAGCAGCTTAGGAAACTGAGGCAGGAAGATCGAGAGTTCAAAGCTGCCTCAGCAACTTAGCAAGGTTCTAAGCAACTTGGTGAGGAGACCCTGTCTTTAAATAAAATACAAAAAAGGGCTAGGATGCGGCACAGTAGTTAAGTGCCTTGGGTTCAATCCCCAGTACCAAAAGAACAAATGTAACTCCTCTTTTTTTTTTCAGTTCTAGGGATCAAAACAAGGGCTTCCTACCTGCTAGGCAAGCACTCTACCACTGAACTGCAACCCTATCCCTTTAAAAAATATTTTTATAAACAAATTTTGAAATAGAGTATCACTAAATTGCCCAGGCTGGCCTCAAACTTGCCGTTGTACCTAGCTCTAAAGGTACTCTTTAGAGGTCTTACAAGAGATGGTGCTGGAAAAGCCCTTCTACCTTTCTCATACAGCAGGCTGGCAGTTAATAACGGGCTTCCTGAATTTTCTAGAGGAATGAGYTGTGGGTCACACTCATATGCCCTTCTCTCCACTCCTTGATTTAGAAATCTCTTCATACCTTCTCTGCTTGACAGCAGCAACGAGGTCAGGTCCTGAAAACATGGAGAACAAGCTGTCCCCATTGGCTGAAGACGTCTCATCACTGGAGCTGGCTGAGTCTCCCTGAGCACCCGACCAGCCGCTGTGCAGGCCGTCCCTGAAAGCCAAAGAGAAAAGCTGGTCCCTGGCCTCTGACAGTCAGCCTGGACACTAGATGGACAGCTCTGAGTTTAACTGCCTCCCTCCACTCAGGCCCTAAAAGAGCAACCAAACAGTGCTCTCTTGTCTCTCCGATCTAAAAACTTGCAGTTTTCTTTCTCTCCCTTAAATGTTTTTTGTTTTTATTGTTGTTGTTTGTTTTGTGTGTGTATGTGTGTATTAAGTTATATATGTTTTTTTTATCACTTCCTTTTATTCTTCCCAGAAGCCTGTGGTTTGTGTATGAAATTTAGAGAAATTAAAAGTTGAGATGCTCTTTTCCCATTCATATTAAGCAGGTAAGCAATATGAGATGTGAAAAATTCCCATTTTTTTCCTAAAATTTTTAAAATACTTTTTTAGTTATAGTTATTTATTTTTATGTGGTGCTGAGGATTGAACCCAGGACCTCAAATGTGCTAGGCAAGCACTCTACTGCCGAGCCACAACTCCAGCTCCCCATTTAAAAAAAAAAATTTTTAGTTGTAGTTGGACACAATACCTTTATCTTGTTTATTTTTATGTGGTGCTGAAGATTGAACCCAGGGCCTCACACTTGCCATGCAAACACTCTACCGCTGAGCCACAACCACAGCTTCCCCATGTGTTTTTTTATATAAATCAATAATTCCCTTAAAAATCTGAATCATATACCATACATTTGCTAGTTTTTTTTTTTTTTTTTTTTTTTGGTGGGGAGAGCTTGGGATTGAGTTTAGGACTTGCACCAGGCCTGGTGCTCTATCACTGAGCTGTGTCCCCAGCCCTGACTTAACATGCTAGGCAAGCACTCTCCCACTGAGCCACAACCCCAGCCCTGCCTTTTTGTGTGTGTGTGTCTGTGTGTTTGTGTGTGTAGCTGGGGATTGAACACAGGGCCTTGTGCGTGCAAGGCAAACACTGAACCAAATGAGCTATATCCCCAGCCCCATGCCTTTGTTTTTTGTAGGCTATAATGATAGTACTTAATAACTTACACGGGTTTTACAGCCATGCTCATTTAACATGGGCTTTATGTTGAAATGAGTATAAAGACCATGTTGCTGGGTGCAGTGGTGCATGCCTGTAATTCCAGTGACTCAGGAAGCCAAGACTCGAGAMTCTCAAGTTCAAAGACAGTATCAGCAAAAAGTGAAGTGGGAAGTAACTCAGTAAGACACTAAGCAACCTAGTGAAACCCTGTCTCTAAATAAAATACAAAATAGGACTCGGGATGTGGCTTAGTGACCCGTGTTCAATTCCCAGTACCAAAAAAAAAAAAAAAAAAAAAAGAAAGAAGACCATGTTAAACATATAAACACTTTATAAATGCTATCATATAAAATTCTTCTCTTGGGTGGAAGAGTCTGTGGTAAACCATACACTTATGCTAATAGTGTGTTTACAGGGACACATCATACCAGCTGGCATCTTATAGTCAGTCACAAAACTCTGATTCCCTGAAGACTTCATTATATCATTCTCATATGGAGGTTGGATTTCAATTGCCTAATATGAATGCACAAAGGCCAATGAGTCTCCCTTTTCACAGAAACAATCTGGGACACCCAGATCTCAAACTCAACTTCCTGGCTGTACCCAGTACTCACCCTTCTGTAAAGAATTCTGGAAAAGGCCAGGTCCGATGGGCATCATCCATGGGTGGCCAGTTGCCCCGGGGGTTGCCAGGACGACGACCATGCTGGGCTTGCCGCTTCTGCTGCATTGCCTGGCTCACTCCTGCCACATAGCGTGCAAACTCTGGGTCTGAGCCCACTGTGTTGAGATAAGGAACAAACAGGATTTAAGGCATCTTAACTGGCATCTTGTTTCATCCCCAACTTTTGAGAATGTGCTGGTCACATGAAAAGTGGTGAGAAACTGCCAGGCTCATCATGCCCCAGATAGTTGGTTGTAGACTATCGATATCAACCTGCAAGGTAAGGTGGGACTTTTAGCATACAGGTCTGGAGTTGGGATACCGTTTGTGCAGGGGACTGTAAGGAAGGGTTATGCCTTGGTGAGGCAGGCTGAATGTGAAAGGAAGGAAGACAGAAAAAAGGTTTAATTTATCCTTTTAAGACAAATACTAGTTACTTTTAACATTTCCAATGTCCTGGTGCTATGTACCTAGAGTACCTAATAATTTAGAAAATCAGATGATGACTTTGGTCAACTAAATAGCCAAAAGTTATCAAAGTGCYAGGGTCAGACAGATAGAGATTATATGCCATTCTCACTTGAGCCAAACTACGATCCAGTATTTTCCTGGATATTAGATAACAGACTTGCTCATTCAGTTTGAAGATGACAAGAGTGGGAAGTAATAAGATATTTCAGGATGCAATAAGAAGCGGGTAGAAACATACCAGATGGAGCTAAATAAGGATGTGCAGGGCAGTGTAAGTGCGGGTGTGTGTGGAGGGGAGGGAGACACAGAAAGCATTTGGAGAAGTGATAAACAAAAAGATGCAAGAGGAGGGCTGGGGATGTGGCTCAGAGTAAAGTGCTTGTCTAGCGTATTCAAGGGTTTGGGTTCAATCCCTAGCACCTGGGAGGAAAAAAAAGATATGAAGGAAAGTATCTATGCATCACAAATGAAATATGATTCAACAGTGCATACTTTTTACCTTCAAACTGGGAAAGATACTAGGGCACAATCCCATTACCAGTTTGTGCTCAGGGTACTGTATCAGGACCACTTAGTAAGCTGCACAAATATGCACATACTAGGAAAGAAAAGAGTCTGAAATCATGGTCTTGATCTAAGTCAAGCCACAGGTGCTGGGCTGGGGTTGTGGCTCAGGGGTAAAGCAGTTGCCTGGCATGTATGAGGCCCTGGGTTTGAGCCTCAGCACAGCAAATAAATAAATAAATAAAATAGGATTACAGGTGTGCACCACCACACCCAGCCAGTTATTACTTTTTTTTTTTTTTTAAAGAGAGAGTGAGAGAGGAGAGAGAGAGAGAGAATTTTTAATATTTATTTTTTAGTTCTCGGCGGACACCAACATCTTTGTTGGTATGTGGTGCTGAGGATCGAACCGGRCCGCACGCATGCCAGGTGAGCACGCTACCGCTTGAGCCACATCCCCAGCCCCCAGTTATTACTCTTGATACATTGCTAGATTTTCTTGTATCTATCCAGATTCATAAGTAAGATAGATGCACTATAGTATTTTGTTGTTGTTTTTGCTTTTTCAGTACTGGGGATTGAACTCAGGTGCACTCACTCTACCACAGAGCTACATCCTCAAGTTTTTTGTTGTCTTTTTGTTTTAAAGATGATCTAAGTTTTATTCCAAGAAACTAAACAACTTAACCTAGCAGCCCAAGTAAACACATTGCTGATCTCCAAGGTTTCAAAATTCAGTACCTAGCACTTTTGGTATGTGTACTTTTTACTACCATTCTTTTTTTTTTTTTAATTATTATTTTTCTTTCTTTCTTTCTTCTCTTTTTTTTTTTGAGAAAGGGTCTCACCAAGTTGCCCAGGCTGGCCTTGAACTTGTGATCCTCCTGCCTCAGCCTCTAGATTCTTTGGAATTATAGGTGTGCATCACCATGTTGGCTTAATCTTTCAAAGTACTTTTAATTTCTCCCTTATCTGTATTTCTAGCTCTTTTCTCTTTCCTCGAAACTTTATTTTACTGGACTTCCAAAGATCCTTTAGATTTATTTTCACTTTCTACTATCTTTTTCTTTTTAATTTACTTTTTTTTGGAGGGGGGAGGATGCTGGAGATTGAACCCAGGGCCTTTTGCATGTGAGGCAAGCACTCTACCAACTAAGCTATATCCCCATATCCTAATTTGATTTTAAACTTAATTCCTCTTCCTGGTTTATTTTAGTTTTGTATTTAAGTTCTTTCTCAAAAATTTTTAGATGACTCTGGTGGCATTCTCACACTGTCTACACCAAAACTGTATTCTATGAAACAGGAAAGTGTTCTACCACCTTAAAATATTTTTTTCCCCTGGTGATCCTAGGGATGGAACCCAGGGGCCTGATGCATGTTCAGCAAGAGCTCTACCACTGAGCTACATTCCCAGCCCTCTACCACCTTAAACAGGCACTAGAGTTGGGTAAAAAGAAGCATGAGGATATGTTGTATAGTCAGGAAAACAGTGCACCACAAAGAGCTGTCTGCATTGACTTTCAAGTCAGATTGGAGCCACTTGAAATAAGGGACTATGAGCCATTCAAGCAATTTCTCTCTCTTTTTAGTTATAGATGGATACAATATATATATTTGTTTGTTGTTTATTTATTTTATGTATTGCTGAGAATCGAACCCAGTTCCTTACACATGCTAGGCAAGTGCTCTACCACTGGGCCACAACCCCAGCCCCTCAAGTAACTTCTCTCAACCTCAGTTCTGTCCTCTATAATGTAAAAAATAGTTGCACTTTCCTTCTCAGCCTCTTCCTCATTACTGCTTTCCACTCTTGCAGGATCTGCTCTGWACTTGCCTCCAGACAATGATAAAGGGTCTTAAAGGGGGATTAAGTTATTTCACTTTCATATGTAAGGCTGTAGCAGACAGGCCCAGAGAAGTTCTCAGAGATCACATTTTATGTTCAAATGAGGTGAGAAGTAAGGAAGCCTCACATACCTGCAGGATCAAAAGGCAGAATCTCTCCCAACATTCCAAAGACTCCATCATTTTGGTCACGGTTTGGCCAGGTGTTATTTCTAGGTCCCTGTGGTTTTTGTCCCAAAACCTCTGACATCACATTATCCATGTAGCTGCTCACTAGGCCCAAGCTGTACAAATCAGAACTGAGATCAGATATGCCAGGCCACTGACCAAGAGGAGACAGATTTGCTCCAACAGGCTGTGCTGGCTGCTGGGATGAGCTATGTACCCATTTCCCAGGTGCCCGAGGCTGGGGTGGGGGCTGCTGTGGTCCAATGGGTTGAAGCAGATGTTGGTAGTACTGGACCTGGGGTTGTTGTTGCTTTGGGGACTGCTGCTGAGATGCCAAACCTGGCTGGGATGTCAGACTTGCGTGTGCCCCAGCCTGTGGTGGCCGTGATGAAGGGGGCGCCGGCAATGATGGCTGCTGTGGATGCATGGCTCCTGCCTTCTGCTCAGTCACCATGGCTGTTGCAGCAGAATTACGCCTTGTCACCAATGGGGAACCCTGATGCGACTGGCCCATGTTAAAGCCTGAGAGAAAGTCTATCACCTCCTGCATTTCCTGATCAGTTGGTAAGTTCATACCCTTGTCATCCTTGCCATCATCCCCAGGCAGGAAGTTCTCACGCCTCTCTAGGAGAAAACCATTGGCCATTGGATTACTGGAATTCTGAGCTGACTGTGAAGGGTCTGTAGTCCTAGGAAAATTACCAATGTTCAAAATGCTTTGTAACCGTGTGTCAATGTTACCAGGCATTTTGGCCTTCTCTTCCGAACACCCAGCTATGAAGACATTTTTGGAAGGGGTACTTGGGATGGAATAATTTGTGCTGCCACTGGAGCTGGTACATGAAACTTTCTTGGTGAACCTGGATGTCAGTTTGGAGAATGTCTTCTGCAGGCCACCTGAAGACTTGTTTCCATTTCCAGAAGGCAGGTCAGCCTGGTTCCCAAAATCACAAATTTCCCTTTGAAGTTGTATCTGTATGCAGGGTAAAGCTTGTTCCCTATTTAAATGGAGATAGGAGATAGGGGTTGAGACAAATATACAAATTGGTTAATGAGATGGATGAAATGGACCTCTCTTTTTTTTGGCAGAACTGGGGACTTGCATATGCTGGGCAAGCCCTCTATCACTGAGCTACAACTCTAGTCCTAAATGGATCTCTTTGCATTTAAGAAAAACTGGTTCCTAAGCATAAGTGAGGCCCTGGATTTGATATCCAGCATTGCCAAAATAAAAAATAAAAAAAAAAAATTGAGAACAAAAAAGACCTCTCTGGTATCAGGTTCATTATTTTACAGATCTAAAAAAGGGAACACCCAAGGGTTTGAGTATATATATTCTATGGTGTCTAATACAGGAATGTAAAAATGAGTAACATTGAATTCTGGCTCAGGAATTTGAATGAAACTCTTTAACTGTAGCACTGGACAGCAAAGCATGAGAGAGGTAGGGATATAAGAGCAAAGGGCTAACTCTGTGCCTGCAGGATGGAGACTGAGAATGAGATTCAGCAGAAGGATAATGCATAATCCTACACAGCAGGGGGTGGAGGAGAGGACTTGGGGGATACTATGACTGCTACTATCAAATGGATAGATGCTGCTTCCAAAGATTTTTGAACATTTTTTCCTGTACTAAAAGGGAACACTACAGTTAGAAAGGGCATGGGGTGGGAGCTGAGGCAGGTGATAGCGGGTGTGATCCTGGAGAAATCATTTCACTGTTCAGACCCTCTGGGTACTCATGAGTTAACAGAGAGGAGACGTGGCTAAATGTTTAAGATATCTACCACTTCTAAAACTAACAATTCACAAAAAAGATAATCTTCCAGCTGTCAGCTGCCTTCAGATATAAGTAAATTTTGTGAAGATTATAAGTAAATTTTCTTAACATTTCTCTGTTCTTAGTTCACAAGGAGAATATGAGTTGGGTTAAAGGTTCTCTTGATGGATTTACTCTCATGATAAAACAAATAATAAAGGCAAAGTGTTAACAAATTGGATACTCTGGGTAAAAGGCAAAGAGCAATTCTTGCAACTTTTCCACAACTTTTTGAGTATTAGAGATTGAACTCAGGGCCTTGCACTTACTAGGCAAATGCTCTGCTACTGAGCTACATCCCCAGTCCAATATAGAGGTTTGAACTTATTCCAAGATAAATATTACCAGAAAGTTCTCTTTCTTGCCTTATACTTATATACCCACATACTATCAGTGAYATGAACACACATGAAACTGTACACAGTCACACTGTCAGTGGGTATGGACCCAACACAAACCACTTGCACAGCCAATTCAAGCGACTGCTGCAGACACCAACCTCCCAGCCCTCCATCGGTTTATGTCCAACACAGCTGTGTAAAGCACATCCACCAGACCCAGGGTCTTCTCAGGATCGAGGCTTCTCTGCAGCAGAGACATGGTAGCAGGGTCTTCTTTCAGGCACCTAGGCATAAACCAGGCTGCATTAGTCTTAGCTGCACTTTTTTGCAAAGGTGTTTCAAGAAAGCCTCAATGAAAAGGCTACATCTTTTATGCCCTCTTGGCATCCAGTGAAAAATCAATAATTATAAGAATAATGAGAGAACAACAAGGCTTACTTTGGAACTTACTGCTCTGCACAAGGGGGAAGAATCAATAGCACCTGGGATCTTGTGATATAATAAGAAATAAAGATGCTCCTTGACTTATGATGGGGTTACATCCCAATAAACTCATTTTAAGATGAAAACATTGTAGGTCAAATATGCATTTAATATACATTTAATATAAAGAATTTAATATAAAGAGCATCATAGATTGGCTTAGTCTAGTGTATCTTAAATATGTCGAGAACACCTACATTACCTTCCAACCAAACACAAAYATCTACCACAAGCCTGTTTTATAATAAAATAGTAACTATCCATGTCATTTACTGAATACTGTGCTAAAAGTGAAAAACAAAATAGAATGGTTGTATGGGTACACTTTCACACCATCATAAAGTTGAAAAAATTCTTAAGTTGAACAAATAAGTTGGAGACCATCTGCCTATATTTGGTCTCCACCTCCAGTTTCTGGCAGAGAACTCCTAAAATTTTTGTCACTTTCTGATTGGGGTGCTAGGAGCAGCTTTTATTCTGGTGTCTGGTCTCTGGCATTGGTCCCTGACACAGATATCCTAAATCCCTTAAAATTTCCAGGGTGACAAGATGTCTTCTATTCTAGTGAGGACACTTTCCCCGACCCCATAGGTACTGGGGATGGAACCTAGGGGCACTCTACCTCTGAGCTACATCCCCAGCCTATTAGTTGTTTGTTTATTTATTCATTTATTTATTTAAATATACTGGGGATTGAATTCAGGGACACTTAACCACTGAGTCATATCCCCAGCCATTTTTTGTATTTTATTTAGAGATAGGGTCCCACAGAGTTGCTGCTGGGATTGTAGGTATGCACCACTGTGCCTGGCTTTGATTTTATTTTTGAGACAGGGTCTTAATAAGCTGCCCCGGATGGCACTGACTTTCTGATCCTTCTGCCTCAGCTTCCTGATGAACTGGGATTTCAGGTGTGTGTCACTATGCCTGGCTATGATATCACTTTTGGTGGGCTCCTGGATAGCTTCAGGTGGGGACTGGTCACTAGAAAGATCAAGTCACGATGAGAAGGTTGTGACTTCTGTCCTCTATCTTGGGAGATAGGAGAGGGAGAGCTCTGGACTGAGTTAGTAATCAATCATTCCTATATGATAAAGCCACCAAAAACTCCTAAACTATATGTTTGGAGAGCTTCCATGTTGGTGAACACATCCAGATGCTAGGAGGAAGACACAGTTGGATACGGCCTGGAGGCTCTGCATCCCTTCCTCTATATACTGCTCAACAGATCTCTGAACATCTGACTATTCATCTGTAACTGTTGTAATATCCTTTATAATAAACCAATAAATGTAACCCCAACTTGTAATAGGCTTACACTTGGAGTTTGAAATGGGAAACAGCTTGTGGGCTGAGCATTAACCTGTGGGCTCTGTGCCACTCCAGGTACTTAGTGTCACCATTAAAAGGTAGGCTACCCAGTATCTGCAGAAAACTGGAGAATTGCTTGGTGTAGGAAACTCACATTCAGTGTCAAAAGTGTTGTGTGAGTACAGGACTTTGTAGACCTCCGTGGATTGCTATCTATGACTGTCTTTTGAGTAGGAAGAGAAGAACTTGGTGAAGGAGATGACTTCAGGAGGCCTAATGTCCTCTTACTATCCAACACCSAGGATAATACTAACTTTTCTCTTTGCCCTGATGAGATTCTGTGGTCTGGCACAATTATCTGCTCCTCTCCAAACTCTTCCATAATGCTTCTGCCCCTCCTTCCTTCTACAAAATTGGATACTTGTATCAAAGACAGTAAGAGTCAGTGGAGGAAAAGTTTGCTCACAGTTTGCAACTTGAACTCACTGCAAGTTTTAGGCAAGCAACAAACATGACCTCCATAAATTAATTTTTCCTCTTTTAGTTTGGGGGTGGGGGTTGTGGTACTTGGGATTGAACTCAGGGGCACTCTGCCTCCGAGCCACATCCTCAGGCCTATTCTGTATTTTATTTAGAGACAGGGTCTCACTGGGTTGCTTAGTGTCTCGCCGAGTTGCTTAGCACCTCACTTTTGCTGAGGCTGGCTTTGAACTCATGATCTTCCTGCCTCAGGCTCCCAAACTGCTGGGATTACAGGTGTGCACCACCATGCCCAGCTAATTTTACCTTTTTTTCCCTAGTTGTAGTTGGGAAAAAATACCTTTATTTATTTATTTTTATGTGGTGCTTAGTATCGAACCCAGGGCCTTGCACGTGCTAGGGGGAGCACTCTATCACTGAGCCACAACCCCAGCTTACTTCTTTTTAAGATGACTATTTCACACCCTTCCCCTCTCCGCAGTGATCTGACATCCCTGTTACCTCTTCCATTCTCATCTGTCTCAACTCTTACTAAGCTAAGAAAATGCAAGTTAGCAGAGGAGATCCACCTCACCTTCACTTTCTGGTAATTCCACTAGTTCACCTGCATCTGTCCACATGCCTGTTTTCCCTCCTGTCCTAACTGTAAGGCACAACTTGCTTTTGCCATAGTTTAGCCCTCCAAATGAGTGCTGGATACTGTGTGCYCTTTTGCATTCCCAAAGATTATATGATCAGCTTATTCCCCTGTGGCACTCCCTAGGAGGCAAAGAAAGCAGCCTCTCTGATCACCCTCTCAGCCCCACATTCCCCAGGTACTGTCCCATTTTTCTACTCCCCACGAGTAAATGCACTGTCTTTTCTTCCTTACTTCCTATTCTTCTTTTGCTCCACTCCCATCAGAATTTTATACTCTAACTCAATTAATATAGCTTTTAAAAAATTTTTAGACGTTGATGATCTTTATTTTATTCATATATTTATATATGGTGCTAAGAATCTAACCCAGTGCCTCACACATGCCAAGCAAGTGCTCTACCACTGAGGCACAACCTCAGCCCCTTAAGATAGGTTTTTAAAAGCCAACTTAGATCTTGCTATGGTTTAGATATGAAGTATCCCTCAAAAGCTCAATGCAAAATATTCAGAGATGGCTGGGCGCAGTGTTGCATGCCTGTAATCCCAGCAGCTTGGGAAGCTGAGGCAGGAGGATCACGAGTTCAAAGCCAGCCTCAGCAAAAGCGAGGTGCTAAGCAACTCAGAGAGAGCCTGTCTCTAAATAAAATACAAAATAGGGCTGAGGATGTTGGTCAGGGGCAGAGTGCCCCTAAGTTCAATATCCGGTTCCAAAATAACAACAACAAMAAAAAAAGTGCAGAGATGAAATGATTGAATTATGCAAGTAGTAACCTAATCAGTGGATTAACCCATTTACTAGATTAACTGGGTGGTAAYTGTAGGCAGGCAAGGTATGGTTACAGAAAGTAGGTCACTAAGGGCATGTCTTTGAGGTTTATATTTTGTTTCTGGTTGGGGGAGTGTGGTTTTCTCTCTCTCTCTCTCTCTCTCTCTCTCTCTCTCTCTCTCTCTCTCTCTCTCGACATGTCCTAAATTTCGTTCTTCTGCCACACCCTTCCACCATGATGTTCTGCTTCACTTGGGCAGAGAGCAATGAAGTCAGCCATGTATGGACTGAGACCTCTGAAACTGTGAAAAAGTTGTTCTTGTCAGATAGTTTGGTCACAGTGATAAAAGCTAATGAAAACAGGGTCTCCAAAATGTTGCTTACTCTCTCAGCAACATTTTCTAATGTTTCTCTCCTCCCAGAAACATTATCTTCAGTGCCCCAGGCTTGCTCCATTTTTCTTCCATCCTGAAAGCTCCTTTCTGGTCTCCTCTGGTGATTCCTCCTGCTCCCCCCTCTCCTCCCCTACCACCTCTGTATGGTATAATGTTCCTGCTTTTTGTTCTCTCTCCTCAGAGAGAGGTAACCTAATCAGTACAACTCACACCCCCCCTCCCTCCAAAGCTATCCTGATTCCTATAGACTTCTCTAGTATAAAAGTGACACAAATGTCCACTTCAAAACCTACAAATCATCTTTAGCTCCCTCACACCCTATAACCAACCCATCAGCAAATCCTGAGAGCTTGTCTTCCAAAATGTACTTTGAATCCAGGCACTTCTCACTACATCTGTTATTGCTGCCCTGCTCCAGGAAACCACCATCTCCTGCCTCAGGAATTAGTTTCTATCTAATCTATTTTTCTCTATTCCTGCCCCTCTAAAGTGCATCCTTCACACAGCAGCCAGAGTGAGTCAAATCAGATCACATCACACTCTGCTTAAAACACTCCAAAAGCATCTCATCATGAATGAAATAAAATCTAAACCCCTCACTATAGCTCTCAAGGCCCTGTGTGACCTGGCCCCTCTACCTTGTCCCTAAAGCTCTGTCTGAGTGGGTTTGCACATGTCTGAGGATCTTTGCTCTTGCTGCTGCCTTTGCCTGGACTGCTTTTCCTTGAGATCTTGATATGGCAAACTGCTTTTCACCACTCAGGGCACTTTGACTAAGGGGCCCTTTTGTGGGTGTCCATGCCAGGGGCTGCTTAACCACTGAGCTACATCCCCATCTCACTAAGTTGCTGTGGGCTGGCCTTGAACTTTTGATCCTCTTGCCTCAGCCTCCTAAAGCACTGGGATAATAGATGTGTGCCACCATGTTCAGGCAAGAGGTTTTTCTGAGAGAATACAGTCCACCAAGAAGATGTTGTTGGCCAGTTTCTGGGCATTCTGGGAGCCAGATGTGAAACGAGCAATTGTAAGGCCACCCTAAGGGGGCAGCAGTACTACCCAACATTACTTGGCTTGAGAAGAAATATATCTGGGGATGAGAGGTAGATAGCTAGAAGCTCAGGAAAAGGTAAGCAACAAGGCAAGCCCTGCTAGTGCCCAAGCAGACCTCAGACTCCTGGGAGACAATCTTGATCACTGGAACAGGCCAAGGTTCACTGCACCCAATTCTCTCAGCCTGGAATCACTAACTATCAGGACACATTTGCTCTATGTGTCCAAGCTGACTTCAGATTATGATTTGGCTTGTCACTGATTTTGCCCACTAAGAAATCATTTGCTAGATGCTGGTGTCATTGCAAAATGGAGCATTATAGTTCCTGGTGGTAATAATTTTTCTTTCTGGGAGAAAAAAAACACAAATTGGCATTTTTATTTAATTTATTAATCTTGAGAGCTGATCAATAATATGCCCTTGAGACCAAACCTGATCTGTGGACAAATCACCAAGACTTGTTTAAAACTCTTCACCTATACTTAAATAAAAACCTCATATCCCCCAAGGCCCTGCAAATGTTGACCTGTTCCCCCTCTTTATCACCACCATCTCTAACCATGCAAGTTTACTCCCCTGGTCTCCCTTTTTGCTGCCTCCCCCCCCTGCTCTCAGTATGGCCAGTTCCTATCAAATCCTACTACATCCTCAAAGAGGCCCTTCCTGACTAACTTCACCATCTACCATTCTCCTCTCCTTTATCTCAATTATTCTCTAGCAAATAACATGGCTTTCCTCATTTGTCCCTCATACACTTGCTAGTGCTTGGACTCACTTCTTATGCTTATTAGCACTACAACATAGGTTCTGTGAGAGGCAAGAACTCTGTCTTGCTYGTGATTAAATCCCAAAGAATGGAACAATGCCTGGTACACAGAAGGTGTTCGGTAAATATTTTTTGGGAAAAAAAAAAAGAAGAATGGATAGATACCTTAAACAAAATATATGACAACTTAAAAATATAAGTAAAGTATTTCTTTGGGAGAAAAAACATCATTTGAGCCAGACATAGTGGTGCATGCCTGTAATCCCAGTTGCCCACGAGGCTGAGGCAGGAGAATCACAAGTTTGAGGCCAGCTTTAGCACTTTAGTAATGCTCTAATCAATTTAGTGTGACCTTTCCTCAAAATAAAAATAAAAAATAAAAAAATCTGGGACTGTAGCTCGGTGGTAAAGCACTGCTGAGTTCAATCCCTAGCACCAAAAAAAAAAAAAAAAAAAAAAAAAAAAAAAGAGAGAGAGAGAGAGAGAGAGAGAAAACATCAAAAACATCATCTGGCAACTGAACACTAAAAGCAGAGAATATAATAAACTCTTGACTTGCTTTGTAAGTCTTATCTTTTCAAAGACATAGTAAATTAATCACTCTGTTTGCATTCAACAATCACATAATTTGTACAGGTTGAGCATCCCTAATCCAAAAATCTGAAATGGTCAAAATCCGAAATTTTTTGAGTGCCAATATGACAACACAAGTTGAAAATTCTATACCTGAAAATTAGGCACACTAAATATATTGTATAAAATTACCTTTAGATTAAGCGTATAAGGTGTATATGACACATGAGTTTTATGTTTAGATTTGGGTTCTGTCCTCAAAATATCCCATTATATGCACATCCAAATATTCCCAACTCCAAAAATATCTGAAATCCAAAACACTTTTAGCACCAAGCATTTCAGATAATATATACATCTCAACCTGTAATTTCAAAGAAATAAAAACCTTTATAATTTGCATCTTTACCAAAGCCTACCAGCAGAGGGAGTCTCTACAAGGAATCACACTCTAGAAGTTTTTTTTTTTTTTTTTTCTGGGAGATGTAGTGAATTACATAGGAAATCAATGGGGGGAGATAGGGGGAAAGAAGTTCTGGAAGAAAATCCAGAAGTGCTAACTATCTTAATACTAGCTGTCTATATTCGCCCAACTATATGAAAGTTCCAACTATATGAAAGTTCGATCTGTCCTCCTCAAAATAAGAATCCTGAGGCTAGGGCTGTGGCTCAGTGGTAGAGCACTTGCCTAGCATTTGTGAGGCACAGGGTTCTATCCTTAGCACTACATATAAATAAATGAAGAAAATAAAGGTCCATCAACAGCTAAAATAAATAAATAAATAAATAAAATTAAAAAATAAAAAGAATCCTGACAAAGTTTAATATTTTTCAATTAGAATATTTTTGTTTGTTTGTTTTTGTTTTTGTAGTACTAGGAGATTGAATCCAGGGGCTCATACATGCTAGTCAAGCATTTTGTCACTGAGCTACAACCAGTCCTTATTTTGAGATAGGGTCTCACTAAATTACCCAGGCTGACTGATTGTGTGCCTCAGCTTCTGAAGTACCTGGGATTACATGCTTGCACTACCAGGGTTCAGGCATTTAATGAGAACACGAATTGGAAAACTGAATTAGGAATCCAGGAACTCCAAAATCTTATAGAAAAGTAGGGAAGTGAGCTTTTAATTTATTGTTTGATAGAAATGAAGATACGTGGAGCTGGGGTTGTGACTCATCGGTAGAGCACTCTTCTAGCATGTGCAAGGCCCTGGGTTCAATCCTTAGCACCACATAAAAATAAATAAAATAAAGGTATTGTGTCCAACTACTTCTAAAAAAATGTTTTTTTTTWAAAAAAAGAAATGAAGATATGTACCTATAAAAATTACTATTAATTTCAGGAAAATAAACCACCTGAACAATCAAATTAAAATTTTGGCAGGAGCATACTCATAGAAGGAAGATTTGGAGACACACAAAATGAACTGCTAACCCTCACTTACTACATCAATAGTTCTAAATACTTTTAGCAGAATCTACCATTGCACTCTCACGGTTCAAAAATAAATAATTCAAGTATACTGGGTGTGGTGGTGCATTCCTGTAATCCCAGGAACTCTGCTCTGAAGGCTGAGGCAGGAGGCTCCCAAGTTTAAAGTCAGCAACTTATCAAGGCCTTAAGCAATTTAGTGAGATTTTGTCTCAAATTTAGAATAAAAAGGGCTGGGGATACAGTCCTGGGTTCAGTCACCAGTACCCTCCTGCCCCCCAGTTTATAAACTGTTTATAAACAGTTTTGGACTGGGGGCATAGTTCAGTGGTAAAATACTTGCCTAGCCAGTGCAGGCACTGGATTCATCCCCAGCAACACATAACAGCTCCCCCTACACCACTACACACCCCAAATGATTTAAATATAAACTGTATGCATTGCCCAATTACTACTTTAGTCTGTGTAGACATCAATCTCTTCCTACTTAAATAATTTAACTATTTCCTCTATAATTAAGTATTCATCCATTTTTGCTACAATTTTTTTTTTAAAGAGAGAGTGAGAGAGGAGAGAGAGAGAGAGAGAGAGAGAATTTTTAATATTTTATTTTTTAGTTCTCGGCGGACACATCTTTGTTGGTATGTGGTGCTAAGGATCGAACCTGGGCCGCACGCATTCCAGGCGAGCGCGCTACCGCTTGAGCCACATCCCCAGCCCATTTTTTTGCTACAATTTTTAATAGCAAAAATTAAACATATTAGAAAACATTTGCTATTAACAAAGCTATGATGCCAATCTTTACAGCCAAATCTGTATGCACAAATCCCTAGTGGAGGAATTGTGAAACTGCTGAGGTCATACCCCTTATTTTAGGCTTCTGATGCATTAAATTGTCCCCCAAAAAAGCTGTTATTTATTCTCCATTTAACAATGCCTGTTCATGTAGTGTAGCCCAAACCATACTGTCACAATATTTAGTTGTTTTTCTAAGACAAACATTTTGGGCAAAATGGCATCATATGGTGTCTTTGCCTTCCCTTGATTATTAGATGAGGTTACACATTTTCTTCATCTATTTGTTGATAATATCTCTTCTTTCCTGCCTTGCTTCATCAGTTATCTTGTCCATTTTTCTTTATTTTTTTCAGTACTAGAGATTGAACATGGGGTATTCCATTACTAAGCCAGACCCTCAGACTTCCAAGGAGCTAAARTTTTTGGTGTATACCAACATACCCACCTTCTTGTCCATTTTCAGCTATTCTGGAGGCAGAGATAAAATGATTGTAAATTTGAGGCCAGCCTAGACAATTTAGGAAGATCCTAAAATGAAAATTGGAAGGGCTGTGGCCGGGTGCAATGATGCACACCTATAATCCCAGCAGCTCAGGAGACTGAGGCAGGAAGATCTGAAGTTCAAAGTGCCATCAGCAACATAGTCAGACCCTGTCTGACTAAAATAAAAAGGGCTGGGAATGTGGCTGGTTCAGTAGGTAAGCACCCCAGAATCCCCAGTACCAAAGGGAAAAAAAAAAGTTTTGTGGATATAGCACAGTGGTAGAGCACACCTGGGTTCAACCCCCAATACCTCAAAAAGCCACCCACAAAAACCTTCAATAATCCTTTATCTATTATGTTACAAATGTAATTAATAAGTAAAAAGAACCTGTCCATAGATTTGCAATGATTCTGGGTACTTAGTAGACATGAGGCTCAAGGCCATCGGGGATGCTGGGCGTGGTGGCACATGCCTCTAATACTAGCAACTCCTGAGCTCAGGCAGGAGGATCATGTTTGAAGCTAGCCTTGGCAACTTAGCAAGACCATACCTCAAAAATTTTAAAAATTTCAAAAGGGAATAAGGATGTGGCTCAGTAGGGGAGTGCCTCTAGTTTCAATTCCCAGAAAGATAAAGACCATCAGGGTTGTAGCTGGAATCGACAAAGGAAAAGAAGAAATTCTATGCTCTCTACTCAACTTTAGAGAAATAATAGGTGATTTAGAGAAAATGATACAGAAAGTTTAAAACTTCTAAACTCAGTGATGAAGATTATGACCTAAGAGTATGGTATTTCAGTTAAAATATGGCCAATAAGGGTCTTTTGCAGACATCTTGGCTTCCTGATCATAGACCAACAATCATGCCATATGCTACTAACATGCCATTGCTTCCCGTAACCCCACACACGTACAAGACCTGCTGTGTCAGCCAACACTGGGCTTGTTCAAACAAAGCAATCATTTCAAAGACGTGCAAACTTCAATCACAGCTTAGGCTTCTGGTATAATATAAGAGTCAAGTTACCATGTAGATGGGACTTGAACCACGATTCTGGAGCCTTCTAAACTGATTTGGGGGGCATAGGCTTCTTTATTTTCAATCTGTGCTGTGTCAACTACCACCTAAGAGAGAGAGAGAAAAAAAAAAACAACTGCCAGCTTTCAGAAAGGAAAATGGATCACAAACATATCCGAAACATGAGCCTACTGATGCTGAGTGATTGCAGTAAGAACTATTCCCAGGGCAGTGCAACTGTGGTAAGGCCAGTAACAGTCCATGAAGACAATAGAAAGTAGCTGGGCATGGTGGTACAGGCCTGTAATTCCAGCTACTTGGAAGGCTGAGGCAGGAAGATTACAAATTTGAGGCCAGCCTAGGTAACTAAGTGAGACTATATCTCAAAAATAACCAAGAAGGGCCAGGAGTATAGTTCAGTTGTAGACAGCTTGCCTACCATGTGCAAAGCCCTGGGTTCAATCCCAAGTACTCAAAAAAAAAAAAAAAAAAAAAAAAAAAGATACCTTATTAATCAGAAACTGAATTATTGGTATAGGATATGACTGACCTTTTCAAGCACCTCTAGCACTTTTCCACACTATAAATGCTAACTCGGAATTACTGTTTCTTTTATCTTAGAATTTTTTTTCTATGTACTTGAATGAAGTAAAATGTGATTAAACAATGAACCAAAGCTTCAGAAAAGACCATTTGTTTCTTTTTTTCTTTTTTCTTTTTGATCAAACCCAGGCCCTTGTGCATGCAAGATAAGCACTCTACCAACTGAGCTATATCCCCAGCCCCAGAAAAGACCATTTGTAATGACTAGATACAAGCCAGAGAGATGAACCCACTGTACCTTACTCCCTGCCCCTGCCATAATAGGGACTGAACCCAGGGGTACTCTACAACTGAGCTATGTCCCCAGCTCTTTCAATTTTTAATTTGAGACGGGTCTCACTAAGTTGCCCAGACTGGCCTTGAACTTCTTATCCTTCTGCCTTAGCCTCCTATGTCACTGGAATTACTGTTAACTGGTATCTGTTACTGTGTCTGGCAGATAAAACTTTTTTTTTCCTCCAGTGCTGGGGATCAAACTCAGGACCTTGTGCATGATGTTAGGCAAGTGCTCTGCCCACTGAGTTATATCCCAAGCCCCTCAGATGAAACATTTTAAAAGAAAATTTTATTCTTAATCATGAATAAATACAGAACTACTTTAGGACAAAGAACCAACTCTTCTTTCAATGATTTACTCTTATTTGGAGAAGAGTTTTTAATTCTACATGGATAATACAGTATCTCATGTAATCTAGAGTTTGACAATGTGAATATTTTCAAACAACTAAAGAATTTCAAGAAAACAATGATAAGGAGCTGGGATTACAGCTCAGCTTGCCTCACACATGCGAGGCACTGGGTTTGATCCTCAGCACACATAAAAATAAATAAAATAAATAAAGATATTGTGTCCATATTTTTAACAATCTTTAAAAAAAAAAAAGAAGATTAAACACTTTAAAACCAAATCTATAATAGTTCAGGAGTCAAGTTGTACAGAGTTGCTTATCATGATTCCAAATTCAGCCTCTAATGGTGTAGATTTCCACTGCTATAAACAGAGTTCCCACAGCTGGTCCTTCAGGAAATACTTCCTGACTAAGGAACAGCTTTTGTTGGACCACACAGGTGTTTCCTCTCTCCTCCCACCCGCAGAACCAGAATCCAAAGGTTCTTTTGTCAGTCACACAAAGGTGCCCTACAATCAGGGGTAGAGGGCCAGGAAGAAGTTTCTGGTCTCTAAGTAAAATAGGACTTTTTTTTCCCTTTTAACTTATAATGTCTTCTCACAACAGCCTGTGTATCCTTCTACCTTATTTGCACACACCTTTCTGGAGAATGCATTGCCATAGTTCTTTGAGTTTCAGCTAAATGGTCTCTGGGAATATGGACTGATCTCTCTTTTTTTTTTTTTTTTTTGAGAGAGAGAGAGAGAGAGAGAGAGAGAGGAGGGAGGGAGAGAGGGAGACAGAATTTTTTAATATTTATTTTTTAGTTTTTGGTGGACACAACATCTTTGTTTGTATGTGGTGCTGAGGATCAAACCCGGGCCGCACGCATGCCAGGCGAGCGCGCTACCGCTTGAGCCACATCCCCAGCCCTGGACTGATCTCTTAAAGGCAGTGATTCTTCCATACTTCAGCAGGGTATCTCCGACTTAGTACTTCTCCTGGTGGTTCCTATACTGAAGAATAGATCCTAAAGGAAACAGCTCTTCTCTGTGGAGAGGCCCTTGTCTGGCCCTCTACAAGACAGCACTGTCCTGAGCTGGGCCACCACAACCCTCAGCTACATGGAACAGAAGATAAAAATCTTCCCAATAGCTCTTTACATGAATAAAGTAGACATCAGACTCATTTTCCTAAATTAGCTATTTTCTCTAATTAGCTTCCTCTAATCTCTGACTGAAGTACTATATCTTGTCCAAAAAGTAGTCATTTATTAGAAAATGGAATCAAGTAAATAAAGCTATATATAGGTCAATGGTGCCAACCTAAATGGTGATTTCAGATGCTAATCTCCTGATCTTACCCAACTTTGGCAATTTTTTTYCCCCCTTTTTTCTCTGAAAGATGAAAAGACCAAACCAGTACATTTGAGTTGTTGTTGTTATTTTATTGCTAATAAGGAGATAAACAGAGCTGGAGAATGAAGTTACTAGAAAGGAATTCCACTTATAACAGCACAGTCAGGAGAGATCTCTTGGAGGAGGTAATCCTGGAGCTCACACCAGGAAGATGACAGGAGTGAGCCACATGAAGATCAGAGAGATAAAGGATTTCCAGGTAAAAGGAGGACAGAGTGCAAAGGCCTTAGACAGGAGGCAGTTTGGCAACACAAAAACATCCACTACAGCTGCAGAATCATCGGGCCAGGTCAAGGGCCCTGTCAAAATTATTTTGTAACTAGGTTTTCTGCAATATATACCATCAATCTGCAAAAGAAAAGAAAAATTCTTCCTTTTTTGAACCAAGGTCCTCATATATGCTAGGAAAGCAACCTATCATTGAGATATATCCCCAGCCCAAGAAAGACTTTTTAATGCTGTTCTTCTTTTGCTTTTCAAAATCTGGTCTAGGAGCTGGGGTTGTGGCTCAGCAGTAGAGCACTCACCTAACATGTGGAGGCCCTGGGTTCGATCCTCAGCACTACATAAAAATAAATAAAATAAAGGTATTGTGTTCAACTACTTCTAAAAAATTAATTAAAAAAAATCTGGTCTAAATTTTGCAGCACTGAAGAACTTTGAAAGTCACTGACTATTTTCACACATGTGCCTGTACCACATCCTCATATGTTTGAAAAGTCTGTTCTACTTGAGGTCACTCATGGAAAGCTGGGTAAAACTCCAGGGACCATCCGGCAAGAGATCTCTATTTTACCCATAGCCTTGGGTGAAACAGTCCTGAGCTGACCAAAGCCACTCTGCTACTGAGAAGAGTCTCTCTCTGAAAATGGATCCTTAGTAGGTCACATTAAATCACTGGCTCTGATGAAAGGAATGAATTACTGTTCTCTTAATGGGACTTAATATTTGCTTATTTAATGCACACTCTACCTTACCTTTGTTACTCAAAATCTTACTAARTATAAAATTTATTAAGGCAAATAGTAAAAAAACTTCAACACATAACTAAAAAAAATTTTAAAAAAGAAAGAAATGTATCTTCTATTTTTTCTCATCCTTCACACATACTCACCAGTCCAGCTTGGCCAAATAGAAGCTGCACAGCAGTCTTGCAGGCACCCCGCCATGTAGATGGGCACACCTGGTTCAGTACTTCAGTCACTGGAAAATCATCTCTGGGTGTAAGTCCATTATAGCAGCCTGCTTCCTTGATCAACTGTAACATTGTATGCTATAAATTGACAAAAAGAGTCCACATCTTAAAACAAAGCCATGCAAGGTTATAAAATTTATAGAAATGCATTTATATAATCATCCTCAAGAAAAAAGCATTTTAAGTACATCCAGATCATACCATTTGAATTTCTTAAGCAATTATCATCATGAGTCACCCTCAGAGATTTTCCAATCCCATGATGAATTGCTAGATATGAATACACATACATTAATACAAACATGTGATTTCTACGTCAGCACAAAGTAAAAAATTATTTAGCAATCTCTTGTTGCAAACTGGTTGAAGAATTTGGAAATTCTGAATCCTTCCAAATAAGGAAACAAAATCATCTGGTAAAAGTAAATACCAATTGAAACTTCAACTTTATTTTGGATGACCAAATGGTCAGGTATGCAGGATCTGCAAACAGGCTCCCATGACCTCAAATTCCAGCTCTACCATTTTCTAGCTCTATGACCTTGGGCCTCAGTTCCCCCATATCAAGTAAGAAAGGGCATTACCTACCTTAAAGGGAAGGATTAAATGAGATAATGCACCTGAAGCACTTAGCATGACATCCATGTTACTCCAAAAATGGCCACTATACTGCATTATTATAAGATTTCTCCTTCTACTACTCAAAAGTCCATAAGAAATACTAATCATGGATAATATTTTACAATATACTTCCAAATCTTTTAGGTTAAACATTTGAATGAAATTTCAATGAAACTTTTTTGGCAAATGTTTCATTAAAAATGTCACCAGAGGGGCTGGCGTTGTGGCTCAGTGGTGGAGCACTTGTCTAGCATGTGTGAGACACTGGGTTCAATCCTCAGCACCATATAGAAAAATAAATAAATAAAGTTATTAACAGGCTGGGGTTGTGGCTCAGTGGTACAGTACTTGCCTAGCACGTGCAAGGCCCTGGGTTTGATCCTCAGCACAACATAAAAATAAATAAAATAAAGGTATTGTATCCAACTACAACTAAAAAAAATAAATATTAAAAAAAATACAAAATAAAGTTATTTAAAAAAAAGTCACCAGAGGGCTGGGGCTGTAGCTCAGTGGCAGAGTGCATGCCTAGCACATATGAGCCACTGGGTTCAACCCTTAGCACCACATAACAATAAATAAAATAAAGGTATTCTGTCCATCTACAACTACCAAAAAAAAAAAAAAGTCACCAGAAGGCTCAGTTGTAGAACACTCACACTCACCTAGCACGTGCAAACCCCAGGATCATCATTTTACCAAGAAAGGTCACAGCCTCCTTCTTTAACCTGTTTTGTTTTTTAATCTGTTCCTCACAAACCCTTAAGAACTCTATTTCCAAGTTCACACTTGGCTGCTGAAACCCCATGGAACCCCATGGAAAGCTACCGTCTTAAGTTTCAGATTGTCCGCTGCCGACTCATTAAAGGAGACGCCCTTCAGGAAGTGTGATCCTATCTGCACAGGGACAGTGGGAAGCTCGCACTGCATGGGCTGTGGGGGTGTCTGCCTCCGCCCAGTCTGCTGCGCTTCCGCCTCACTGCAGCAACCCTGGAAAAGAAGAGAGGTTATCCATACCTCATCTGTCAAAACACTTGGTCAGATTGGACCACATAAACATCCCTCACAGCTCCCAAGAGTTACCAGATAGAGAAATATAACTGTGGTGCTGTCTATGGCACACAGAGTGGCACAGAAGGCCCCCATAGGCCTCTGCCTCCTCTCTCTGATCTAGTTCTACCAATTGCCAGCCCTCTGAACATTCTAGTCATTACAACCTACTCCTGCCAGCCTAGCACGCTCCCATTTCTATTGCCCACCATGTTAACAAAYCATGTTCTCAGGTAGTGCAGACTACCAGAGCACCCAGTGTAAGATGGTATGGTTGGGGCTGGGGTTGTGGCTCAGCGGCAAAGCGCTCGCCTCGCATGTGCAAGACCCTGGGTTCAATCCTCAGCCTCACATAAGAATAAATAAGAGAAATAAAGGTTAAAAAAAAAAAAGATGGTATGGTTTCCTCCCATCTACCATATACACACTCCTAAACATGTCCCCACCTTATATTATGTTTCTCTATAGCTTTCTGCACCATCTGATTTCCAAATATTTGTCCCTCCCTTTTTGGTCCTCCCCTCCAATGCACTATAAGCAGGGATGGGGTTCCTAAAACCAACCCAGGCATATAGCAGGTACTGAATCAATACTTGCCAAGTAAATAAATATATGAAAGATAAATAAAGAAATAAAGGAAGGTAGGAAGGGAGGGACAAGAGAGAGAGACAGAGATGAAGGAAGGAAGGATGGTTGGAAGCAAGGGGGGGAGGGAGGAAAGGAAAGGAAAAGATAGGATAGGATACCTGCAAACTTGCTTCAATCGCCTTTGGATTTAGGTGGAAGCCAGCTTTCATTGCATATTCACAGTGGCCTAAACTTTCCAGAGCTATCTTATATGCCTGCAAACAAATTATTTTCAGGAATCAAGATTATACAGCAGATTAGAATGACAAATCTAATGAAAATAGGAATTTAAAATTTTTAGAGTTTTAGAAGACTTGAGGTCAATTACAACTTTATTACTCTAATGGTTCAACATCAAAACTAGTTCCTTGCCTTGGACATCAATATTCCAGCTTTGAAAAACTTACTTGCAAAGCACTGTCAATTTTTATGTTCAGTTCTTTTAGTTGGTGCTCAGGAATTGCTGCACTTTGAGAACAAAAGAGCTGCTGAACTTCAATTCCTGCCAGGCGGCCATCACAGCCTCTTTCTCTTAATCTAGATGTTGCCTAAAACATAAAAATAGAYTGGTAAGTAAAAGAGGATGTTAGAATTACTAGCAAAATTAAACCAATAATAACAAAAAAAATCCCAAAACCAAAATAAAGCAAGAGACCATCTAAGCATTAGATATAAGCCAGAGGTTCTGCATCATCCATGTAATAAAGCAAGCAGCCCAAAATTTTGAAAGCCTAAATTAATTATATCAAAGAGAAAGCAAACCTGATGTAACATTACTTTATCTTAGAAACACTGGAAAAAAGATTTACCTGTTATTAGTTATGTACATACATATAAACATTTACACATTTTTAATTTCCCTGCTTTGATAACCTAGAATATTGGCATTTGGAGTTTCCAGAAGAGAAAACAAAAGAATATATCTAGTTGAGTGAACTGAAGTAAAAAGCCATACCAATATAGCTGAGCACAGCAGGCCATGGCTGTAATCCTAGTGATTCCAGAGGCTGAGACGGAGGTCACAAGTTCAAAGGCCAGCCTCAGCAATTTAGTGAGGCTTTAGTGAGGCCCTTATCAATTCATTTAGACCTTGTCTCCCCCCACTTTCAGTCAGTAAGTATGTTTATGTAGAGTATATAAGCAAGACAGGAAAAACAGGAAGAAATTATATCATGTTATGAAATGGAAACATAGATGTGGGTCAGGAGTAGAAGAAAATACAGAAAAATATATATTTGATTTATTAGAGGGGTGAAGGGATTAAAAATGAATTGTCTTTCAATTTTTAGTTTTGTTGCAATAGTATTTGTGAAACAAGTAACATTTTTTAATAGTTTACCTTTGTTCTTCCAGGACAGGCTAGGAACTGTAATATTTATCAAACCTGTAGGACTACAAGAAAACAACTAACAGCTTCAATGTCGTCATATTCCAAAGGTTTAGTTTCACAAATTATATATAAATTACCATTTCCTGAATCCTAACAGTCTTACAGTTTAAAACAATTTGACCTTAGAATTGTTCACATGCTGGGCGMAGTGATGCATACCCGTAATCCCTGCAACTCAGGAGGCTAAGYGGGAGGATCCTTAGTTCAAAGCTGCCTCAGCAATGGCGAGGTGCTAAGCATCTCAGTGAGACCCTGTCTCTAAATAAAATACAAAATAGAGCTGAGGATGTGGCTCAGTGGTCAAGTACCCCTGAGTTCAATCCTTGGTACCTGGCCTTAAAAAAAAAAAAAAAAAAAAAAAAGAATTGTTCACTCAATGCCAGTTGCTCAGGAAATCGAGGCAAAAGGTTCCCAAGTTCAAGGCTAGCTTCAGCAACTTAGCAAGACCCCATCTCAAAACGAAAAACTAAAAAAGGGTGGGGGGGCTTAGGTTGTAGCTCAGTGGCAGAATGCTTGTCCAGCATGTGTGAGGCACTGGGTTCAATCCTCGGCACCACATAAAATAAATAAATAAATAAAATAAAGATATTGTGTCCATCTACAACTAATTTTTTTTTTTTTAAAGGGTGGAGTGAGGTGGGAATATAGCTCAAAGGTAGAATGCCCCTGGGTTCAATTCCCAGTACCAGAACAAAAACAAAAAAATATAATTCATTCAAATATTTTGCCGACAGGGGGTTATGTTGGCTATTTCCAGATACATTCTAGAGCACAAAACCTGGCCCCTACCCTCCTGGAGTTGATATGCTCATGAACCAAAAACTCAGACAAAACAGAATTAAAAATCAGAAAACACACTGAGAGAAGCAAATATAGCACTGTAACAGGGAACATCCTAGATGCTGAAAAAAGGGCTGGGAGTTAAGGGAGAAGGTAGTCAATGGAACTACAGGGGTATGAGAGTGTGTCAGGACCAGCAGACAGGTACTAATACAGACCAAGGAACCAAGGTGAAGAATGAGACATAGCCAAGGATCTGTAGTCCAGTGACAAGGGGGAGAGTGACCAAAGAAGCTAGATATGGCAGGATTTGCGGGGTCCACAGCCCCTAAGGATATGAGAAGCAACATCATCCAATTTTAAAATGAAAATAGCAAATCAAGGAGAGGAGAAAAGAGTCCTGAGTAGAAATAACGATCCTCTAAACTAGGGTAGTGACAGTAGACACGAAGAAGCCCCTGCTACGAGAAGAGTATTTCCCCCTTGGAGATACTGTGAGCAGCTGAATGCTCTGAAAATACAAAAGAAAGGCACATGTGAATTTGACAAGAGAAGACATGTTCTTGTGTAAGAGTAGAATCCAGATTTCAGGGAGCTAAATGATGACATTTATGTAAAGTTTCAAATTGTGCAAAATAATAGCTTATATTAAGTATGAATACATGTACATATAGTAAAAATATAAAAATATACACAGAAGCCAGACTCCAAATTGACTTCAAATTCCTCTAGTATGTAAAGGATGTGAATAAGATAGCAGAGCGGTACAAAAGGGATTCAACTACAACTGTAATATTTTTTTGGTTAAAAATAAAAGGCATGAGGTAAATGTAGCAAAAAAAAGTTAAGCTTCATTTGTTCAATATGCTTGAAATTCTTCATAATAATTATCTTTAGAATCAATCAAAGGTGACAAAAAGGCAGACAACTGATCCAAGAAGTTAGCTGTGAAAACAGCAGAGAAAAAAGGTGGAGAAATAAGGTGGATTTTCCTGTTTGAATGCTGGTAGAAACAGATGGAGAATCAAAGAGAGAAAATACAGGGTTCTGGGCTAAGAATGTAGCTTGGTGGTAGATTGCCTTGAGTTCAATCTCTAGTACCACCAAACAACCACCACCACCACCACAACCCAAAACAACACAGGGCCCCACCACAGAAGCCAGGCCCTCAAGGATGGGGGCCAAGTGGGGTTGGGGAAAGCTCTGGACTGGAGAATGCACCTCCTCTGTTGTCAGGAAGGAAGAAGGATGGGTCTGAAGCAGAGCAGGGGCAGCAGTGGGGAGCGGGGTGAGCAACAGCATTTTGGTAATGGGAGAAGAAAGGCTAATGTCAGGGGGATTCTATTTTCTCAGTGTAGTGGTGTAGGGGCACTAGGTGGAAACAAAGGGAGTGTGAAGAGGGAAGAAAAGACTGGAAAAACTAAAGTGGGTGGAGGAAAAGGTCAGGTGAGATGGTCAAGGGATCCCTAGAAGGTCTCATGTGGGGTGAATTTTCAGCATGAATGATGCCAGCAGATGGAGCAGAGAAGAGTGACCAGGTACTAAGGTTTCCAAATGTGAGGAGAACAGTCAGGAGGCTGGAGCCCAGAAGACAGGAGGACAGAGAGAGRGAGAGAGGTTGGTRAAGCCAAATGACAGGACAAAGGTCTCAACTGACCACCCATCAAAGTAAAAAATTATGTTTAACAGTTTTGATTAGGGCTGGGAATATAGCTCAATGGTAGAGCACTTGCCTAGTGTGTGCAAGGCCTCAGGTTCAATCCCTAGCACCACTAAATAAATAAATTTAGGATTAAAGGAGATTTCTAAAACATAAAATAAATACATTTCCAATTTAATTATGGAAATTTCAAACTAGACAATAAATCAAAATACTATTCCTTAACTATAAACTATCATATACTCTGTGAAATAGCAGTAAGTCCTAGATAAAGCCACAGCTTTTTTTTTCTAATACTAAAAACAAAGGATAGTATTACAATGTCTGCAAAAAATACATTGCCTAAGTTCTACAAATGGTGATTGTACAGTAGCATTTACAAGCAATATGACTCAGTTTTTAGTCCCAAATGTATTTCTTCCTAATGCCCAGAATACTTTCTGGGTCTACCAACTTTGCTATATTCTCAGGGAGAGAAAATTCATAATTAACAGCCTATAACAATCATAACAAGAAGACCTACATGCTGGAGGGTGGGGCAGGGCAAAAGAAAAAGCTTCTCAGCCACTCTTACCATCAAGGGGCCATGCTCCTAACTACCCCACAGAGGAATTGAGGGATTTCTTTCAAAACCAGGAAAACAGTCTAAATTTAATAACTTACAAAGTCTTTAATGCACAGCCTTCCTCCAGGAAGTTAGCAAAAGTATGTTTTTCTATATGAGTATTTTAATTGTTAAATAAGTAAAAAATAATAATGATAATACATGCAGATTTTCTTTCTTTCTTTGTTTCTTTCTTTTTTTTTTTTTTAGTTGTAGATGGACATAATGCCTTTATTTATTTATTTTTTATGTGGTGCTGAGGATTGAACCTAGTGCCTCACGAGTACTAGGCGAGTGCTCTACCACTGAGCTACAATCCCAGCCCACATGTAGACTTTCTGAGACTTAAAAAAAAGAAAAAAGAAAAAGAAATGTGTTGTTACTGATTTTATGAGAGGGCTCCATAATACAGACTTTTTTTTTTAATTTTTAAAATTTTTTTAAATTTATTTTTTAGGTGTAGTTGGTTACAATGCCTTTATTTTATTTATTTTTATGTGGTGCTGAGGATTGAGCCCAGGGCCCCGCACATGCTAGGCGAGCGCTCTACCGCTGAGCTACAACCCCAGCCCCAACACAGACAATTTTTAAGAGGTATTTTTGATTTGCTCATATTTAAATTCTTCCGGTTATGGAAAAGGAGTGGAGAAGGCCAAATCAGAGACTAGAAAAGGAATCCTGGGCTGGGGATGTGGCTCAAGTGGTAGCGCACTCGCCTGGCATGCGTGCAGCCCGGGTTCGATCCTCAGCACCACATACAAACAAACATGTTGTGTCCGCCGAAAACTAAAAAATAAATATTAAAAAATTCTCTCTCTAAAAAAAAAAAAAAAAAAAAAAAAAGAAAAAAGAAAAGGAATCCTATGCTAGACTGGACTCTCCAGCCCAACAGGCTCAGGGAAAGCCTGCTGCCCACCACTGTGGCAGGTCCCTTCAGTCATTAGGTTGTGTGGGAAATGAGAATACTCACTAATTCACTGGCATTTCTTCTTCCTCCAACCCTGATGAACATGCCATACCAGCCCCACTAATGCGATATCTACCCAATAGTGGAGCCAACCTCTTCCTTGGTCTACCTTTTATTGGTAACTGGGTTTTATGAACGTATCTGCTATGCTGGGAAATTGATGATCTTTCAAAAGATTGAAGACTTCATGGAGTCAAATAAAGCAGTACTGGAGAATTGCTCAAATCACATGCAAAGCAACTGACAAATGAGGTCTTAGGTAGAGTTGGACCAGTTAAGAATCTTAAAGAACTAAAAACTATAAATATGTTAAGCCTTCTAAAAGAGAATGATTTGGTTATCAAAAAACAAAAGCACACTCCTATAATCTAGAAACTTGGGAGGCTTAGTTAGGTAGGAAGATTGTAAATTTGAAGCCAGCTTAGGCAACTTAGTGAGATCTTTTCTCAAATTTTTTAAAAAATGAAATGGGTTGGAGATGTAGCTCGGTGGTAGGGCACACTTGGGTTCAATCCCCAGTACTGGGGGAAAAAAAAAAAAGAAAGAAAGAAAGAAAGAAAAAAATTCCTTATTTTCAGCTGGGTGTGGTGACAACATGTGTAATCCCAGTTATTCAGGAGGCTGAGGATCACAAGTCTGAGGCCAGCCTAGACAACTCAGCAAGAACCTATTTCAAAATAAAGTTTAGAGAGGGCTGGGAAGTAGCTCAGTAATAGACTGTCCTTGGGTTCAATTTCCAGAACTAGAAGGGAGAAATTCCTATATTCACTGAGTTTTCATTTGGTATGATTGTGGCTTTGGAGCCTGGCGTTCCATCTGTCTGCCAAACACTCCTGCTCACCTACCCAGCTTCCTTGCTGAGCATTTCCCTCACCAGCCAGCTCCATCCTGTCTTTGCTGATTTAGGCACTAGCCTTCTCCCTTGTTCCTCTCTTCTAGCTTTCCTGTACCACTCCTATTCAAAAGTAGGGCCCCTCCTCTCTGCCTGTAACATCTCTACCACAGCTCTCTTCACCCTGGTTTTATAAGACTTCTCCCAGCAGGCTGTGGGAAAAAGCTGTTAGCTCAGTGCCTGGCACAGGCCTGCCCCAAAGGGCATTCACAAAGATGGTCACTGTTAAATAAGTGAACAAGCTAATGAGAGCAGCTTAACACTTACATTTCTAAAGAAAATGGCGCTTTTGAGAACCAATAGGCAAAGGCCTTTTGGATCCTCTCCCATTTGAACACAGGGCCCAACCTCCCCAAAGTCAGTTACCTCAGCAGCCCCCCGCCAGGATCGCACAGCTTCCTCCAGTTCGGGTGTATGGCCCATGCCAGATAAGCCGCTGCCACCACTGTTCTTTTTTTCTGGCACAACAAACTCAGCAAAACAAGAATGAGCCACTGGCTGGACCTTCTGTAATGCGTGGGTCAAAAACTGGAAATGGACTTGTACCACTGTCAAGAAACATCGCCCCAACACCTGCAAAAACAAGAAAGCCAGGGTTTTTTAGGTTGCAGGTTACTGATGGATCAGCATAATAAATTCAACTATCAATGACTATGGAATTATGAAATTATACAAAGTGAAAAAGTCGCCATGCTTTAGAAGGATCTGCCTTTGTTCTCATATTTGGACCTAGCTGCCTGATGCCTAGAAGTAAAACATCTCAACCAAACAGCAAGTCCCCAGATTCAAATGAATCTTCCAACTTCCTGCCAAGTATCTGTATKCCTGTTCTCCACTCCTATCACCTGGACTCTGGCTCACACTGACCCTGGTTGTCTTTGAGCTCATGCTGAACTAGAGCAATCCACAATTCCAATTATGTCCATGCAGTGTTCAGAAGGCAAAGTAAAAGCCATGTGATTCAAAATCTGATAGATCAGTGTGACTTATAAAAAAAATCCCATTGGAAATGGAATCCAAAGATACTGGTTATTTTAATAACAGTGTTAATATAGTTATTAACATCATTGTAAGTCATATTTTCAATCTTAAGAAATAAAGCTGACAGACCAGTCTTGTAGGAGGCAACAAAACATATTATACAACTCCATTCACCAGTTTAGTAGGAACCCACTGACCTGATACATAGTGTTAACTGGTTAATGGCCCAAATAGGAAATTCATTTTAAAAAAATACTATTCATAATACCACATTGACATATAGGGTTAACTTGTAATTATACATATGTACATACACACACACTGCAATATGTGTACTATAAACATTTTAAAATATGAAAGTACGTTTATCTGGCAATCTGGCATCAGCTGTTCTCTGACATTGTTTGTTGCTCCCTGTTTTCTTTCTTGCCTTAACCACAGCTACAATGTGTTCTCTAGGATTTCCTATTTCTCGTTCTTTAAAGGAGAGCAAGAATTTACCATACGCAAAGCAATTTGAGCACAGATATTCCAGATTACTGACACCCCCCTGCCAAATCTCTCATAGCGCTTTTGCCCATACCAAATCTGACAATACCAACAAAAACCATTGTAACCCTTTCATCATGTTCCATCAAATTGAGATTTTGTTTATGTGTGTGTGTATATGTGGAAGGTATTTTTTCTTTTTTCATTGGCTAATATAGATGACTTACAAAAAATTACTTTGTACATTTGCAATTCATCCAAATGGAAGGAGCAAATGTGAGAAGCTTCAATGGCTGCCAGCCCTTAGTGCCCTGCCTTGGGAAGCTGGTGAAGGTTTGGAACTGTTTCCATTGTTTTTTTGGGGGGTGGGGTGGGGGTGAGGATGAGGGAATGTGAGGGTGGGGGAATGGAGGTGAGGGGATGGGGGTGAGGGGGGAGTGAGGGGGGTGGGAGTAGGGCAGATACCAGGGATTGAACTCAAAGGCACTCRCCACTGAGCCACATCCCCAGACCTATTTTGTATTTTATTTAGAGACAGGGTCTCCTTGAGTTGCTTAACACCTCACTTTTGCTGAGGCTGGCTTTGAACTCACAATTTTCCTGCCTCAGCCTCCAGAGCTGCTGGGATGACAAATGTGTACCACTGAGCCTGGCTCCATTGTCTTTTGAAGTACCTAAGCTCCAGTCCAGTTCTGCCCCTTGAAGCAGCCCCAAATATGATTCAATCTTGGATATTTTACCTCTTAACACCCATGTCCGATGCTGTCTTTTACCGTACACCCTCTCCATCCCTACCAGTCAGAGCTCTGTTCCCTGGAGATACAGGAACAGGCCAACTCTCTGTATATACTTATTCCCTCTGAATCRTATTCCCCCTGTGGAAATCACCAGGACCAAACAAAAGCAAACAAAAGATCTCAAACCAAACCATCCTCTCACCGTAGTGAACAACCCAGATGCTGAAACCCCACCTGAATTTCCTGGGTTTCCACTTCCACCACATTCAGAGCTCTTCCCTATCAGTGGTCTACACTAGATTGGACAAGGTGAGGGACACAGGTAACGCACGCAGTCAGAAATACATGACATGAATAACCAAACTATGGTACCAGCCTAGGTGTCCATCAATGGATGAATGGATAAAGAAAACGTGGCACATATACACAATGAAGTTTTATTCAGTCAAAAAATAAATAAAATAAAATTATGTCATCTGCAGGAAAATGTTTGGACTCAGAGACCATTATGTTTGGTGAAATAAGAAGGTCAAGGGCTATATGTTTGTTTATTTATATATATAATATGTATATAATATATACATATAATATGTATATATTATATGTATATATTTTTTATGTAAAAGCTAGAGAGGAAAAAAGGAAAAGAAAAAGAAAAGTGGGAGTAGATCTCATGAAAATCGAAGAGAGATCAGTAGAAGAAAGAGACCAAAAGGAAGGTACAGAGAGAGGTGGGAAGAGATTAGGAGTGAAACTGGACAAATTATATTATTATAATGTGTGCAGGTAAGCATATGTAACAATAAATCCCATTGTTACATACAACCATAATACACCAATAAATAATATTTAGTACTGTATGTAATCACAGCCAGCTTTAATTGAGCTCCCAGCTTGTACTTAAGCAATGCTAARGATTTCACATGGGGGTCCTGGGGTTGTGGCTCAGTGGCAGAGCACTTGCCTWGCATGTGTGAGGCACTGAGTTTGATTCTCAGCACCACATAAAAATAAATAAAAATAAAGGTATTCAACAACTAAAAAAAAATTTTWAAAAATTTTTCACATGGGTTATCATACTTAATCCTAGGAACAATCCTTGCAGTCATCCCTATTTTATAGACATGAAGACTAAGTCATACAAAAGTTATGAAATTTTGTCATGGCGACACAAACTGGATATAATAGTCATTTGAATTATCTTTCTGTGCCTTTAGCCAGTGTGCCCCCACTACTTCAACAGACTAGATACAGCTAAGGGCTAGTGGTACTAGATCAGGTATATGATAGAAATTCAACCTTAACTGGCACAGTTAAGTGTGTCCTGAAGCTCCACATAGTGCAGACACAGAGAAGTGATGCTGGCTCCTCAAGGACACAAATTCTTCATCCCCCTCCTAATCTGCATTTTGGCAGATTATGGGGAAGTGGAGAAGGAGGAGACAGTGAGGATGCCATGAACCATTTGCTCTGGGGTCATATTCTCACAACTTCTGACCAATAATAATGAATCATTCACCCTTACAAGAAATATATATGTGAATGCCTAATATATATAAAGCACAAAAGCCTGATAATAATATAAGAAAGAGAATAAGCAAGTCCCGAAAATCATTCTCAGGAGGGTAAGGGAGACAAAAAAGTCATAAATGGATACACAAGGTCAGATGCTGTAGGAGAATGAACATCAAGGGGTAGGTGGTAAAGAAAAGGTTCTCTGAGGACATGACCAAGGGGAAAGAGATGGCTGCCCCTTCCTCTCATAAAGGAAATATTCTCAGAAATGCTTCTGATGGCCTGATGAAGGGTCCAGAACAGGACACTCTTCTGATAATGATGGTGTGGATTACACACCCACCTCTATGGAAGGATGGAGTCAGGGCAAGTCGTTTTGTTGCAGTGGTGAAATGGTGGAAGGGGTGGGGAATGCTGTTATAGGAATAAGCAGGGGAAGAGAGTCAAACAGCTGAAAAGGCATTTTCAGTGTGCTGTCCCCACCATTTATTATATGGCTGATCTTAGATGAGTCATGTAATCTAAGTGTCTTCTCTATAAATAAGAAACTATGATAATAAGAGTTCAGCTACCATGCACCTCCTTCCTCCTACCTATGATGTGTAACTCATCAACCCAAATTAGGATTGTGACAAAATATGTGTTGTAAATAAGTCATTCAAAACCAATCAAGCCAAGTGCAGTGGCACACACCTGTAATCCCAGCCACTTAGGAAGCTGAGGCAACCTGGACAACTTAGCAACACCTTGTCTCAAAACAAAATAGAAATAAAAATGGATTGGAATATGGCTCAGTGGTAAAGTACCCTGGGTTCAGAACCCAGTACTACCAAAAAAAAAAAAAAAAAAAAAAAAAAAAAAAGCCAAACCAGTAGTTACTCCAGAAAAAGCTGTTTCAATGACTCTGCTCTTAAATTTACCTGAATAACGTAGGTGTAAACTTCTCCTACTCAGGAAGACAGAGCTCTGACTTCAGGCTGCCTCTGCCCACCTTTTCTCTGATATCTTACTCTTAGCTCCCCTCCTTTACCCAGGCGTAGGCCAGTCCTTGGGGGTCTTCCTAATGTAAATTTGGAAAAGTGTGACCCCAAGGCTTTAGACAGCTATTTTTTCTTTCACATGGAGAAAGTTTCTTGGTATGGGGTTCAACAGCAGAACAGATGTGACAAATTGGGTAAGAAAAATGAAAGGACTGTCAAGGACAGACATTTAAATTTACAGTAACAATGAAACTCTATCAACAGCTATCATTGTTTAACCCACAACACATACCTTACATGGGAATGTGACCCTGTGGGCTGTGAGCAATTCTTGACAGCACTAAGGCTTAGAGATCAAAACAAAACAAAATAACACACACACACATACACACAAACAACCTTGCTTAATATCAAGCAGGTAATAAGTCAAACAGAACTGGCCAGTTCTGTTTGACTCCAAAAAGCTGTGTTCAAATTAACAGGCTGCTCTGTCTCCCTACAATAAGATCCAGGGCGTAGACACAATAGTGGATGGACACCAAACATAAGGAGGGCTAGATTATTGATAACCACTGGGGATCTACTGAAATGGAGTCCTGTTTTCTGGAAATCCCCAATGGTGGCATTACATTGGCTGCTAAGTATACTATGCTCATAGATATAAGCAGAATGACTTTTCTTTTTGGTGATTTTTATATTTAATTGAGATTATAAAAAGAGATGTTAATTTAAGGTCATCCAATTTTGAGCATCAAAAGACCACCCTCTCGGGGCTGGGGTTGTAGCTCAGTGGTAGCRCACTTGCCTGGCACGCATGAGGCACTGGGTTCAATTCTCAGCACCACATACAAATAAATAAAAATAAAGGTCC